TTGTTTTACGGCCAAGACAGTTCATCCATTTTACTGGTATAGACGAGTGCACGGATGGATTTGAGTTCACTCACTCGACAAAAAGTGACACAACAGCTGGGCCCTGTTTACTAAAAATGAACACATGAATAATGCTCGCATAACATTTGAAAATGGATTATCAATTTTTCTAAGCAACTTGCAAGGTCCTTTTCACGAGAACCGAAGTATGCTTACGTAAACCAAGAGCACTATCGGGAAGGGGAGAATTTCTCCTACCCGATGGTGTTGTTAATATTTCCGTGGGCGTATTCGGTTCGCGCGAAAAGGGCTTAACAAGTTTTGTGTACAAAAGTTGATTGGCCCGCTTCAAATATTACGCAATTATTCATGTGTTCATTTTTAGTAAACAGGGCCCCGCTGTTGTGTCACTTTTTGTCGAGCGAGTGAACTCAAATCCATCCGTCCACTCGTCTATGCCATCCTTCTCCACTTCACGTGAGATTTGGGATCGTGAACACGGTTTTCAAAGCAGTATGTAAACTAAGCAGACTGGGCGGATTAATGGTCAACAAGAACCACGTAAAGGGCTGAACACAATGACAGCGGCACAGCGGTAAACGCGCATTGTACTAAAATCGCCGGTACCGCTGTGCCGCTGCCGCTTTGCCACATTTCTACCCACAATTGATGCACGTTTTTCTTTTGTTCCGCTGTTTTGTTGCTTTCTGTAGGTAAACAAACCAGGTGATGTTTTCGTTTTACTGTTAGTGGTGCAAAATTAAAAACTAATTTCTCTCGTCCACGTTCATTTTATCGTGAAAAAAAGTCCCAAATAATGGAAGCTATTGGGAATATCATTAAAATCGTGCAGGTCGTTAAAGTACTGCGGGATCTGCAAAAAATATATCCACGCAAAAGCGTCGGTGCTGGGTGAGACCCTCCAACCAGGTGCTACAAAGTGAAGGTAACCTTTTTCTCCATTCATTCCTTGCACATTTCCTCTTGTTTAAACTGTGTTTATTTTAAAGGATTTTACGAAACGGCATTCAAATTAATGAAAAATGAGGATTCCGAAAAACTTTCTCCGGACTGTTCGCATAAATTCTCAAGTATTTGTTAAACCGCATTTGGAGAAGCGAAGCAAACTCACGGATTTTCAGGTCGTGCCTGCCAGCTACCACAGTCTTCTCGAAGCTGTTGATATCCTTCAGGAGAACGAGGATTTGCTTAGTTGTGTTGATATAAGTTTTCCATTTTTCGTTAACTATAGACAGACATAATACTAAGATTTTTTGTTATGTTAGTTAGGTCCTGAAACATTTCCAAAAAATATATAAAATGTGCTTCTCATTCGATCTTGAACCCGGATATGAAAATGAGATCAACAGCTTTCTTGAGTCTAGGGAAGGTTTACAGCTACCCAAAACATCCAAATATCATATCACCAAGTTTCACGTCAAAGAGTTTTGTGAAGCATTTGGACATGACTTGGTCTGACACAATGAACAGGCATCCGAATCTGTGACTTTTTGACAACATGGGAAAGGTATAAAACCACAAAACACATCGACGTTGTACAAGGCCCAACTTTTACGTGCTGTCGTTGATTACACAAATGTAACAACAACTAAACACGAATCTGGGGTTCCAATGTTATGATTCATCACTTGTTGGTTTACATAGAAACCAAATTAATAAAGGAGAGTTTGGAATGTACTTAAGTCCATTAGATTTCCATAACATTGTATCCGTTATCTCTCAAAATAAATTTATGGATTTTCATATTTAAAACACTTCAGAACAGATATGCCATGTCCTGTTTCACGTAAAGAAGCATTTGTAAAGAGATGTAATTGTTTTTTCTTGACATCTTAGCATATAAGACATTGGAAGGGCCTAACTCAAAATTTCCAAAGTTCAGTGATCATCTCTGAATTCGCATTAAATTAAAAAAAAAATGGGAGCACTTTGAAGAAGTACCATGAACCGTGGGGAAATGTCGTTGGGAATAGTTCTATCATTTGGGTTATCATTCGTCTATGGTATTTTTTTATTAGGGCTTCGCAGAAGAATTATAAATATTTGGGAATTTGCGAGAGCTTAAGCAAAGTTACATGAATTTTAGGGAAGTCCAGAGAACTCCAATTTATTGGGAAGTTTAAAGAACTTTGAAGAGTAACGATATCTTTAGAGAAGTCCCGAATATCGGGAAGATTCAAAGATCTTCAGAAAACTTCGTACAGTTCAGGAAAATGTTGAAAACTTCATCGAAGATCTAGAGTAGTTTTAGGAGAACTTCAGAGAAGTTCGGACGAGAACTTAGTTCTGAGGAGACCTTCAGAGTAGTTCTGATGAGAAGTTCAAAGTAGTTTTGATGAGAATTTCAGGGAATTTCTGAGAACTCCAGAGAAGTTCCATTGGCCTCAGGAAAGTTCCGGGAGCACCCGGAACATGTCTGGCCAGCGTGGTCCTCAGTGCTTAATATGTAGTTTGATGTGTCACATGAGGATGTAGGTCCAAGTTTCACTTCTCCGAGGGTATCCGGAACATGTCCGGATCTGGCCAACGTGGTCTTCAGTACTTTATATGGACAAAAATGGTCATATGGAATTCCAAAATGTTGAAAAACGAGTTTTAGTACAATGAAGCTTTTGACGCAACACGCTCATTGTGGGTTGTCAAACGGATTTCAGTGTATTGGAAAATATGCGCTTATCGATATGCCGCTATCATTGTGTTCAGCCCTTTAGAGCGAATAAAGTCCAATCGATTGGGAATGTTTTATACAGGTGAAAATCGTTTGTGTGCCAACGAATGTCTCGTTTTCCACTTGCTTCAAGTAAGTGCCTCAACAATCTCCTGGAATTTAAAAAGAATATCCATGTTGGGTAACCGCATACATTTCCGCTCAAATAGCCTAAATACAGTTGCTCTCAAAATTGAGCGTACAAGTCTGTTTAAAAGTTTTTAATTCATTTTTTCGGTTGAACTTTCGATTGATTTATTTTTTTAAATATCCTACGATATAGTAATTGTCCAAGCTCTACGAAAAGTTAAACAAAAGTACAAATTGTTATCCTTGAGTTTTTATTAAAATTGAAATCATAAAATAACAAGCATTTCTGCGACACAAAATTGAGCGTACATTTCCGATACCCTTCCGGTTTTTGATGAATTTACTGTAAATTTTGACAGTTCGGTAGCATACAGTGTTTTTTGCTCTGCTGTGGTTCCGGTTGTTTTCAAATTACGACCAAAGTGCTTGTTTTCAATAAGTTTAAGCAGAATGGAAGGCAAAAGGAAGCAAACCGATCTTGCCACTCGGAAATTAGTCATCAGCTTGTACTGCAAAGGAAAAACCATGCGGGAAGTTGGTGCAATGGTTGGACGTACTCATTCCACGGTGCAGAGGATCATAAACAAGTGGAGATATGAAGGAAAGTTGCTGAATAATCCCGGAAGAGGTCGTAAACGCATACTCTCAGCAGGCGATGAACGTTTGATTACGCGGAAAGTTAATCAAAATCCAAAGATCTCCGTTCCGGAACTGACGTCAGAGGTGACACAGATGATCAATCGACCGATTTCCACAGAAACCGTCCGCAGGACCCTTCGGAAGAATAAGTTACACGGCCGAGTTGCTCGTAACAAACCGTTCATTTCGGCAGTGAACAAGAAAAAGCGTCTTGCGTTTGCGGAAAAGTATGTTTCAAAGCCTGTTGAATTCTGGGAAAGGGTTTTGTTTACGGACGAGACCAAAATAAACCTGTTTGGTTCCGATGGAAAGCAAATCGTCTGGAGAAGACCAAATACAGCGCTCAAATCACGGAACTTGAAACCAACGGTAAAGCATGGGGGAGGGAACGTTATGCTTTGGGGTTCGATGGCGGCCAGTGGAACAGGAAACATTGAGTTTATCGACACAACCATGGATAAGATGTTGTATATGAACATCCTGAAGAAACATGTCAAGCCAACTGTCGAAAAACTCAAGCTCCCATCGGATTATTACTTCCAGCAAGATAACGACCCAAAGCATACAGCTCACATCGTCAAAGAATGGTTGCTGTATAATGTGCCAAAGCAGTTGAACTCTCCACCTCAGTCGCCGGACCTCAACCCGATCGAACATCTGTGGTATGAACTTAAGGTACGGGTCAAGAAAAGCCATCCTACGAACAAAAACGACTTGAAGTTGAAGATAATGGAAGCATGGAATTCGATTCCATCAACAGTCACGAAAAAGTTGGTGGAATCGATGCCCCGCCGACTGAAAGATGTTATTGATGCCAAAGGAGGACACACCAAGTACTAAATCCAGTACGAAATCGATCATTCATGAACATTTTTATAAGTTTTCATAAGAATTGAATTGATGTACGCTCAATTTTGTGTCGCGAAAAACCTTGTCATTTTATCATTTGATTTTATTAAAGACATAAGTATCACCATTTGTACTTTTCTTTCACTCATCATAAAGATCGAATAATAACAATATGGAAGAATAAAAAAATATATTTTTTTAACTTTAAACAAGAAAAAAAATCTGAAAATAAACTCGGAAACAGACGTGTACGCTCAATTTTGTGAGTAACTGTACATCCACTCAGCTGGATCTTCTCCCATCAATTCTGTACAATAAATTAAGCAAACACCCAGAACCGACCAAAGTTGACCGATGAAAGTACCAAGGCATACACTTTCGCCTCGAAATTAGACCCATCTCAATTACAAACCAGCTGCCTGCCTGCGTCTCTCCTCACAGCTCCCACCAATTCCAGAAGCCTACAGGCTACAATGAATAAATTTGACCTTCTCTTCGACTTTTTCTCGTAAATCTAACAAACACGTTCGACAACATTACCGCTACAGTAAAACAAAAGGGGTGGATTAAAAGGACCTTCCAGCGTTATCTGACCTCCAAACCGAACTTACAAAGCTGTGTGGCTGCGAAACTCTTTCTGTGGGTGCTGCTGCTGGAGCTTAGTCATTATGTCTCTGCGATCAAAGCCACTTACCTCTCATTATATAACCGGTCCCGGGTTTAGCACGGTTTTGCTATTACGCTCCGCTCTCCTTAGTAGTATATATCACTTTTGTTTTTAGGGTCCGCTAATTCAAACAGCTCTGACACTGTTTTGTTTTCGTTAAAAATATACTGTCACAATTATTACACCCCACAGCAACTATCCTTCCGGATCGGTTTAATCTTGAAGGGTTGTTAAATTTGGGACACTTCCACCATTTCCCCTCCCTCCGTTACGACTGTTTGCGGTGATTTGCGTCGTCCTTGTCGTGATCGTTTGCCAGGCAGCACCAGTTAGGCACATGGTGTAATCCGGAAACGGGCAAACAGATGAGGATGACCGAGGTGTAACCAAAATACCAGCAGAAGATGATTCACACACACACACACCCTCCGTAAAGTGTCAGATGATGATGAAGCTGGGCGGTGGTTGGGCTGATTGTGTTATGCTGCTTGTATCCGCTTCCGGGACGGAAATGTCGTTGCCGGTGTCGCAGTGTTCGTTGTGTGGTGAGACGATGTCGTCGTCCTCGTTGTCGCCGTTGCCGTTTGTAGATAGGCGCCTTTGGGACCCGGTAGTTAACGGCTGTTTGTTCCGCTTCCGAGAAGAGAGTAGCATCTGTTTGGTAATAGAGGAGGAAGAGACAAATATCCGGATCAGTTTTGCTAGTACATTTGTGATGCTAGTTTAATGACGGTTAGTTGAGCGATTTTTCTACAGAGAAATTAGTGCGTAATCTTATACCTGTCTGAGGAATATGATGAATATTGGAATGAATGAAAATAATGGAATGAGTTTATTAAGGTCTTGAAATCCATTCTCAACCTTATAAAGTGTATTAGACTTGGGGAAACGAGGGAAGATCCCAACTACCTTTATTGTGGGTTGTTCATAAGATGCATGCATTTTTCACACAGAAACCAAACTACCTAAATATCTCAAATTGTGATTTCAGTGCTTGAAGACTCAAACAATTGCACCATTTTGATTATTTTCAATGTATTTCTGATACAGAATTTGCACTCACTGAAGCTCTTCTCTTAAAATCGTATATACAGTAAAGGACGAAGTATATAACATCGTGATTTTTTCGCAAAAAGTTCAATAAACTATATATTTTCAGGATGTATATATTCCTAACATTATTTCCTTTTAATTCCGTTATAATTGCTTATGTTTTGACAGATACGCATATTTCATCTACTACTTGCAGACTTCGTCAGTGTCAAGTATTCAACCCTACTGTTGAGTACTTAGCACTGATGAAGTCTGCAAGTAGTAGACGAAATACGCGTATCTGTCAAAAGCTAAGCAATGGATCAATGAAAATGCTGAGGTTTTGACAGAACTGTGCTGTGGCTACCACAGTACTTTACATTTGATCGTCCATATACAGTAGCGCCAAAAGCATGCTGTGGTGGGTTCAAAACTTGACCATCTAAAATGATCAATTATAACGGAATTGAAAGGAAATAATCAACACACTCAAAAGCAGTGTTCACTCGGCTGTCGACAAAAGCAGGCCACTCTCGATGTGTGCCACGCGATCGTCTGTTTTCTGGGCAGCAACCATTGTGTGGTCCTCCTCATTGTTCTTCATCAGCAGTTTTTTCGGTCGATGCGTCGTCGACTTTGGAAAGCAACCGTTTCGTGATGAGTGTGTGAGTGCTGACCACGTTTTGCGTCCATTGCTGCAATGGACGCGCTCTGACCCTCGTTGGCGTACAACAATTTGCCATACAATGAAACTACTGGAAGCGGCTCCAGTTCTGATGGAGGATGCTTTTTGGATAGCGGAAGATAAAGTGTTTATTGTGTTGTACCTTTTGACTATAGTTTTAAGATGTTTTGTATAGTCACCAAGAATCCTCGGCTCTGTAAAGTTAATTCGGTTGAGCCAATGCGTGTCCGAACCGTTGTAGGTCCTTCCTGAAGCAATCGTGACCATGAAGCATGTGCTTCAGGTCGAAGTTTAGCTCTCCATGCTTTATGTTCACCTCGCGCGCGTATTACGGATATAATGGACTGGAAATGCGATGTGAGATTTTGACATAGGATTACGTCTTCGTGGACTATACTGGGGTGCAAATAATAAAAAAAAAAAAGTTTGGCGTAATAGTGTCAGGTTTTGAACGTTTGTAACTTTGTCATTTATAAACGAAATTAAAATCCAAATACGCCAATCAACATGAAATAACTCTATGAATCTGCTGAATTGAATACTTTTCCAATTTTCCCTAAAAAACTATTGGAAAATGTACAAAATGATAAGTTGTCACTGTTTTGAAGAAATAAAAAGTAAAGGGTTGTGTCCTAGACACGACCGCAGTATGACGTAGAACCACACAAAATTGATGTTTTTCATGCATTTTTGACTATTATACTTTATCTTAAAATTTTCAAGTATTTCAATGTTTCGGTTATGGTTGACTCAAAACAATTTACACATTTTTCTTGACAAATATCCATGTGAAATTCCATTACATCCAGTTAGAAACAAAGTAATAATGTTAGATGATCGTGGAGGGCACTAGTCAAAAAAATTTAAAATTTACAAGACATGTGGATCATATTCGACCGAGATAATCAACTTTTAAAAGTGTCCGAAATTCGAGTTTAAGTGTCCGAAATTTGAATCGGCACGGTACGTACATATTTTAAGTATGTGGCCGACACATAGATATTGATTTGTTAGGAGCGGTATTTGAGGGGTGGGGGGGGGGGGGTTAGGAAAGGTTGTTGATGAGTGGGGGAGGGGTTAGGAAAGGTTGTTAATGAGTGGTGGGGGGGGGGGGGGGGTTAGGAGAGGTTGTTGAGGGAGGGGAGAGATTGTTGTGAAGGGGGGAGGGGGAGAGATTGTTGTGAAGGGGGGAGGGGGAGAGATTGTTGTGAAGGGGGAGGGGTTGTTGTGAAAGGGGGAGGGGGTTTACATCATTATTGTGGTCACGCCGTGATCCACCTTTAGCCGCTGATTTGGTCCTGCTTACTGCAGGACCAAGTGCCACGCCGTCCGAAGCGAAAATGAGCAAAAGCATGACACCAGCGCTCTTTTATATCTTTTCCGGTTCAGAACCTGCTAGGATTTCCCGCAGTTTTTTTATGAATGGGGCGGAGCAGAAAGTTTCTTTTGTGCAGAATATGTAAAAATAGGATGGACTTTAAATGTTAATATAATTGCATATATAGAGGCACCAGATATGTTTTACCGTCAGTATTTCAGTCACACAAGCAGTACAGTCCGGTATTTGCTCGCTCTGTCGAGTTGTTCGATAATTATTCCAAACGTTTATTCGCGTCGTCAGTAGTGTCGGTCGCACCGTGTGATGGGAAGACAGCGCTCCCGGAGCAGGCTCCGTGAGAAAGCGGAGAAGAACAGTGGTGAGTGTAGCACGAGTGTACCTATTTCAAATAGGTACGCTACTCTTCCCACCGATGTTGGAAATACCACCACCGCCACGGTGAAGCGATCCAAGAAGAGGAAGAAAAACCAAGGCCAGTCCGATGGTGCGAGTGGACGTGATGACGTCACAGCAACGAACGCCAGCGACATCGGTGATTTCGGCGACGCCATCGACAACGAAAATTCTGCCGGCCCAAGTGCGGCAAAAGTGAAGCTACCTCCGTTGGTAGTGAAAAATGCTCATCTTAATGAGCTCATCGCGGATCTAGCGACGCTGGGCGTTAAAGCCGAATACAAGTTGGGCAGAGTCGGCACCAAGGTGGTGCTCCGTACCAAAGCGGAGTATGACTTGGTCGTCGCCCACAGGAGGACTTCCAAGGTGGAATTCTTCACCCACGACATTCCCGGTGAGAAACCATTCAAGGTCGTCATCAGGGGCCTACCAAACTTCGACCCGAAGTTTATCGAAGCTGAAATCAGGGACCGGTACAAGCTGGCCCCAAGTGCCGTCTATCGGATGACAAGAAGAGACGAGAATGTGAAGGCGTATCCGGATAGCCTTTTCCTGGTACACTTCCAGAAGGGAACGGTGACACTCAACGCGCTGAAAGCCATCCGATCCATCAATTGCATCATCGTCCGCTGGGAGCCATACCGTGGCGGCCATCGCGATGTGACTCAGTGCCAACGGTGTCTGAACTTTGGACACGGCACCCGCAACTGCAACATTAAGCCACGCTGCGGCAATTGCGCTCAAGACCACGCCACTTCCGACTGCCCTGCGGATGGAGCTGTGGTGTTAAAATGCGCCAACTGTGGTGGTGATCACCAAGGTTTCGACAGACAGTGCTCCAAACACGAGGACTTCAAACGGATCCGAAAACAGGCGGCAGCTAACAGCCAACCAGGACGCAAGAAGGACAAAGTCCCGGCATTTCGGACGGAGGATTTCCCGCCTCTTCGTGCTCCTCAGCAAAGGCAAGCGAATTCGCGGGTGCATTCCGTTCAAGCAACTTCTGGTGATTCTGCTGGCCAAAGCTCTCCATCCCCCCCTGGATTCTGGAGACAACCACCAGCGCAAAACAACAACCCCGATCTGTTTTCAGCGGATGAACTGATGGATATTTTCGTCAACATGACCGGTGCTCTACGTAAGTGCCGCAATAAGCCCGAACAGATCCAAGTGCTCGGTAAGTTCATCATCCAGTATGGTGTCTAAACCGCTAACCATCGCTACCTGGAACGCTTGCTCTGTAAGAGCTAAACATATTGAGCTTGCCGACTTCCTCCGCAAGCATAGCATCGACGTGGTTCTTCTAACTGAGACCCACCTAAAGTCCGGTGACAGCTTCTGGTTGCCTGACCACAACATTATCCGGCTTGATCGCACCAGCTCCAGGGGGGGTGGTGTAGCGGTCATCGTCAGAAAGGGAATCAAGTTTTGCACTCTGCCCCACATCCGCACTTCTATCATCGAGGCCATTAGTGTGGAGGTGGAATCACCAACTGGAAACGTCCGGTTCATCGCTGTTTACTGCCCACGCCAGTGTACCGCAAGCAACGGATTAGGAATCCAGTTCAAGAAGGACCTGACCGCCATCACCCGTACTAGCTCCCGATTCATCGTTGGGGGCGACCTGAACGCCCGCCATGAAGCTTGGCGGAACTACCAGAGGAACCGGAACGGATGTCTATTGTTCGACCACGCACAACATGGATTGTACACTGTGCAATTTCTGGACGAACCAACTTTCATCTCTCCGGCGGGAAATCCCTCCACGCTGGACTTTTTCCTGTCAAACATCGGACTATCCAAGCCGGAGGCGCACAACGATCTCAGCTCCGACCACCAACCGGTGGTGACTGAAGTCGGTGTCAACATGGTTCCTGCTAGAAGCTGCCTGCGTAAAGACTACCACCATGTCAACTGGGTGCAGTACGGACGAATGGTGGACAGCAACATCGATGAAAATCCACTGCTCAACACCGTAGATGACATCGACCGGACGTTGGAAGGGCTCCAACAGGCCATATCCATGGCTGACGAGGCATACGTTCGACAAGTTCCTGTGAGGGGTAAGTTTGTTGCTATTGATTCCCACACCCAATTACTGATTCGGTTGAGAAATGTTCGTAGACGCCAGTTTCAGAGGACTGGAGACCTGGGTAAAAAACGTGAAATGGCCGATCTGAATAGGCAGATTGCTTCCAGAATGGA